TTCCCTTTTAGGGAATGTTTGGGGGCGTTGAAAATAAACCCTATGGGTGGGGGGCCCTTGGCCCCCTTTTCAAAAGGGGGGGGGGTTTTACCTTTTTTTGGCCTTATCCTTTTTGCCCCAAAAAAAGGGGCCACAGTTTTTTTGGCCCAACCCCCTTTAAACCCCCAGTAAATTTTTTCCAAAAGCTATTCCCGGGGGTAGGGTTTTTAAAAATCCGGTGGTAAATCATCTTGTCTTATTTCTTATACCCCCCCTTTTCCCCCTTTTTTGGGAAAATTTTAAAAATTGATTTCCCAAAAAATCTTTCCCCCCCCCGGTTTTTTCCCCCCTCCCAGGACCTTTTGGGGGAGGGAACCAAGGGGGTTTTAAAGGGGGCTACCTTTCCCTGATGGATTTTTTTAAAAAACCTGGTTTTTTTTGGTTTACTTCTGATTGTCCCCGCCCAAAGGAAACCGAAATTTTTTTTTTCAACCAAGGCTATATGGGGCCCCCGGATTGGTTTTAAACCTCCTCCACCCACCTCGGTTTATGGAATGGGGAGGGATGAAAACCAAATTTAAAAAACCCCCGATGGGGTTTGCCCGGGGACCCCTTTCAAAACCAACCCCGGTTTATTAAAATTTTTAACCCTTTGGGTCCAACTATTTAAAAGTTTTGAACATTTGGAGGAAATCCCCGGGGGAAAAGGTTTTTTTTCCAACCCCCCAAAAAAAAAGAAAGAAGGGCTTTCCCTCAGGGCCGGTTTTTTCCTAGGGCCCCCCAAGGGGGTTCCGATTTTCCCAGGGAGGGCCTGAAAAACCGTTTCCACTCTCCCTTGCGACTTTTGGGGAAAGGGTTTTGGGTTTTTTTAAAAAACACCTTTTTGGGGCCACTGCTTTAAAAAAGGGCTTTTTTTCCCTTTTTTTTGAAAATTGAGTGTTAAAACGCAGAATTTAAGGAAAAAAAATTGAGGGGTTTTTAAGTGTAAGGGGTCTCCCAAGGCTAAGGGTTTTTTAATTGCTGGGCCCCCCCGGGTTCCCCCGGGGCAAAAAGGGCCCGAAATTTTGTTGTTTGGTTTTTATTTTTTATTTTTTCCCTTTGGGGTTTTTGTTTGGTAATTATGGGGTTTAAAAAAATTTTTTTTTTAAAAAAAGGGGTTAGCCCTCCCCAAAATGGTTTAAAAAATGGGTTGAGTACTTTGAAAGGACTTTTGGGGTTTCCCCCTCGGATTAGGCGGGGGAGGAGATTTAATAACCGTTTAGGGTAAAATTTGGTTGGCGGGAAAAAATTTTAAATTTGGTTGGGGGAAAGGGGTTTTTGGGTTTTTTAAAAAATTTTTTTTCCTTTTTTTTCCTTTTTTTGTCAAACCCCCTTCTTACCCCCTTTAGTAGTATTTAAACTTTTTAAAATTCCTATTACTGGGATCCTTTAAAATCTTTTAAAAAAAACGTCTTTTTTAACCATTTCCTTTAAGGGAAATAATCCCTTAATTCTTCTTTTCCCCCTTAAATTACCCCCCCGGCCTTTCCAAAAACTACCCCATTTTTCTCCCCCTTCCCCTGGGGGAAAAAGCTGAAACCCATTAGCCGCTATTCGGCTTGGAAACCCACCTTTGGGATTGCTAGCAAAAGTCCCAATTTTTTGTTTTTAATTTAACCACTTTTAACCCTTTAAAAGCCAAAAAACATTTTTTATTTAATTTACCCTTACCCCTTAAATTTTGGCCCCTTTGGGCATTTTGAAAATTTAAAAAAAATTTTGGAGGCCTGTGCTCAACAATTCCAACCTTATCTCTAACTAAAGCTAAAGCTATTAGTAGAGCTGCAAGATTGGTAGAGACTCCAAAAGAGTTGCAGTTACTCATACCAAACGACTCAAGGTTTGTAATTGCTGCCAAAGGTGCTTCAACAAAGTCTTGAAAAAGGGTCTGAATACTTATGTAAATGTGATATTTCATTATTTTATTTTTTTGTCATTATGGCGTATTGTTTGTAGATTGATGAGTAAAAAAAACAATTTAATCCTTTTTTAGAATAAGGCTGTAACGTAACAAAATGTGTAAAAAGTCAAGGGGTCTGAGTACTTTCCGAAAGCACTGTATATGTTACACTCCTCGGACTGAGACGTGGTTAGCAGATAATAAACCTGAATTAATAGGGTAAAATGATGAGACGGAGAAACGTTAGTAGTGTTCAGCAGTAGGCATTCTCCTTGATTTATTAAAATATTGTTCTCTTTTGTTCATCTTTTTTGTTGTCAAAATCAATATACATTACAACTTTATTGTAGTATTAAATCTTCACATTCCATATTACTGTATCAAATATAAAAAGGTCTCACTTTCAAAAAACTACGACAATATATTTACACATTCACATTATATGTAAATAACTCACTGTACTATCAGTGTCTATTTTGAAAAAGCTATAAATTACTGGAGGCCTGTGCTCAACAATTCTACAACCATTATCTTCTAAACCATTAACACGTAAGCTAACAATAGCTGAAACCCATTAGCCTAGAGCTATCTAGCGCTTAGCAAAGCTACATTTGGTTAGCATGAAGCTAGCAAACTGTAAAACACAATTTTCGTACAAATATTAACACTTTAACACATTTTATCATGCCAACACATATTTATATATATTACCTGAACTAAACTGAGCCTTCATTCATAGAAAATAAAACAAATAGGATCTAAAATATTGTTGAAAAAAAAGTACAAAAGGTTCAGAAGCCATCTTAATCCCTCACTTAATGTAAACCATTAGCAACGTAGCCAAACTCCATTACTTACAATGGGGAAAATACTAACCAGTATTTCACTCGGTTAAAACGTCCTTAAATTGCCTTCAAACCTCATCAAACTCATGGACTACATAGTAAACCATGTTATCTCAATATTTTAAGAGTCATATTGTACTTTTGCACATTAAATACCAGAATTACAGGGTAAAATGATGAGACGCCGAAACTTCAGTAATGTTCCCGTCGATACAAAATACACGAGCTCCACCGAGCTTCACTAACCTCCACAATAAACAATCACCCACACAGACAAGGAAGCAGAGGGAACACTTATACAATGAGTCTCCCGAGTGGCGCAGTGGTCTAAGGCACTGCATCGCTGTGCCACTAGAGATCCTGGTTCGAATCCAGGCTCTGTCGTAGCTGGCCGTGACCAGGAGACCCATGGGGCGGCGTACAATTGGCCCAGGGTAGGGGAGGGAATGGCCGGCAGGGATGTTGGCGTTTGCAACACCAGGGTTGTGGGTTCGATTCCCGCGGGGGACCAGTATGAATTTTTTTTAATAAAAAATATGTATGCACTCACTAACTGTAAGTCGCTCTGGATAAGAGCGTCTGCTAAATGATGTAAATGGAATAAGGACCAGGTGTGTGTGATTGAAGACAAGACAAATAGAGTGATGAAAAATGGATCGGCAGTAGCTAGTAAGCCGGTGACGCCGAACGCTGAAACCTGCCCGAACAAGGAGGGGAGGCAGCCTCGGCTGAAGTCGTGACAAGAGGAACCAGGCTCTGAGGGGTGGCCAGATGTTTGGACATCTGGTGATGTCAGTAGGACCGTCTAATGGTAAGAGGCTACAGTTTTTTCTATACTGATATACATATCTGTTTGTCTATGGCAGTGGTGTACAGTGGTGTAAAAATACTTTAAAGTACTACTTAAGTTTTTTTTTAGGGTATCTATATTTTACTTTATTATTTATATTTTTGCCAACTTTTACTTTTACTTCACTATATTTCTAAAGAAAATAATGTACTTTTTACTCCATTCATTTTCCATGACACCCAAAAGTACTCGTCACATTTTGACAGGAAATGGTCCAATTTACATACTTATCAAGAGAACATCCCTGGTCATTCCTACTGCCTCTGATCTGGCGGCGCCTTACAAAACACAAATGCTTTGTTTGTAAATTATGTCTGAGTATTGGAGTGTGCCCCTGCTATCCGTCAATAAAAATAAAAAAAGAGAAAATTGTGCAGTCTGGTCTACTTATTATAAGGAATTTGAAATTATTTATACTTTTACTTTTACTTTTGATACTTAAGTACATTTGAGCAATTCCATTTACTTTTGATATTTAAGTATATTAAATCCAAATACTTTTAGACTTTTACTCAAGCAGTATTTTACTGGGTGAATTTCACTTTTACTTGAGTCATTTTCTATTAAGGTATCTTTACTTTTACTCAAGTATGACAATTGAGTACTTTTTCCACCACTGGTCTATGGAGATAACAACAACCCAGTGTTATAAATGGTGTGTAATGATGAGGGGGTGCTCAGGAGTCTGTAATAAAGCCCTTTTGTGGGGATAGCGTATGCTGATTGGCTGGGCCTGGCTTCCCAGTGGGTAGACCTGGCTCCCAAGTGAGTGGCCCTATGCCCTTCCAGGCCCACCCATGGCTGTGCCCCTGCCCAGTCATGTGAAATCCATAGATTAGGGCCTTATGAATTTATTTCAATTGACTGATTTCCTTATATGAACTGTAACTCAGTACAATCTTTTAAATGTTTGCATGTTGTTCAGTAGTTTGAGGGCTTAATTACTTTAAAAAACAAGCTAATTGAAAATGATTTACTTGTCAAAAGATCCGTTTGGGCAATCGTAATTTCACAAAGTGAAATGGCATTAATAATGTTTTAGCAAAGGATTTACACTTATTATCACTGTCAACAAAACAGCAATTTTTTTCTATCCTCAGGCATGGAGACCTCCTGTGATGCTAGATAGAACATGTCGTGTTACAGAGCTCTGGGAGGAACGGTCTATGTCCAGCTGATGACTGATGCACAGGATCCAAACTCAAATTAAAAAAAGACCCCACTGGTGCTAATACAGAGATATACAAAATAATAAACAACAAAGTTGAACCATAAATTAATTAAAGCCAGATCAGAGTTCTTTATCAATAATGGGACATTTAAAATAAATAACACAGAGAGGAGTGATTCTGCTAAATATTGTTTAGAAACCTTGAATTCAGATGGAATGTACTTGGAGACCAGAGGAGTACAACTGATCATCGGACGTGAGGAGCTAAAAAAATCACATCTATCTATTTGCCAAATAAGATTATTCCAAAGAAGCCAAAGGCAATTTATCTTGAAAGCTTGAATGTTGTCATGCATGACTTGTGAGGAGGGACTGTGTCAAACATGGATTAATTATAAATATTATAATTGTTTTCATTGGGGGTTAAATGCACCTTTGAAGGCTTACATACAGTAATCCTCACCATATCATGCAGGAGGATCATATGGGTCTTTCATAGGCTCACTAGTAGCTGTGGTCCTGGTCCTTGCATTGGTGGTGGGAGTTTACTGTATTACCAAGAGGAGGACACCTCCACAGTCACCAGGTCAGTAATGTGACAGTCTAACAATCTAACACGTCTACAAATGTCAAAGATGGCTATCAACACCGATGGTAACAACACTCAGTCAGCTCATGTGACTGTTGCTTCAGTGTCATAGCTCACTTTAGAAGTTTTTTATGTTGTGGTTTCGAGTTTGCATTAGAGTAGGCCTAGATACATTTCGATTGGCCTATTTCCAGATCTACAGTTTGGCCAAGTGCATGTGAAGGAGGTGAATGGATGCTATTTCTAACTTTGAAAATCAACATTAGAGCTTATGTAGGCTGCTTACATACTTCAAATGTTAAATGTCAATAAATGGTGTGTGCAGTAGCCTACCATTTTTTCCCCAAACACTCATGTCAACATCTCCACACAGATGCTGATGAGAGTCCAGAACTGGAATATGCTGATATCACTATTCGAAAAAAGAGGGAGAAACAGAGGGAGGTTCCGGAGGAGGTGGTGTATGGACAGATTGTAGTGCTGGAGGGTGCAAGACAAAACAATGAGTGAGATAGTCCTGAGGGACAGGAGGAGACTGTGTATGCTGGAATACAGTTTGGCCAATTAGAGCTGCATGTTTGAAGGGTTGGTCTTTAGAAGTGGTACTGAAGCCTTGTCGCTCCATTTGTTACTGTAACGAATAGTATTACGTTTCCTCTATTACTGTTTATATTTCATGACATTCACTGCTGAGGGTTTTGTACATTCTTTACCTAAATAAATAACCCAACAACTGGACTGTCTACATATGTCATGGTCTCTATGTTACTGATTTAATGTTTTATATATTTATGTTTAATTTTTTATTTTTACAAACTCTCTCAACAATGTTATTGCACAGTAGTAAAAGTTGTCATTCACTGCAGAACTTTGTGATTGAAAGGACTGTTCCCCAAGTGTGTCCTCTATGGAAGAATGGTTCCTATTTTTGGTTCCCTTCACTTTTTTCTGAAGCATATCTTATTTTGCATCTAATAAACAAACCCAATTTATCACAGTTTGAGCTTTTACATAGGTTTTGTTAATGTTGTAAATTGTCAGGTCATGGAAATTCAGCACTGAATGGAAAATAGAGGATTTTGTTACAGTACAGTATAGCTTAATTTGCTAACTTGAGCCCTGTGTTGTGTAGAGACATGAAGGCTCTGTTTGGACTGTTGGTGATGTTAGCAGGAGTGTCTCCTGGTAAGAAGTTTCTTTATGTGTCGATTTTCCCTCTTGTTTTACACATGATATACAGTAAGGAGCCTAGTTTATATCATATAGAAAGTGAACCACTTGATCAAAGCTCTTTGTGGTATACTATAGGCTACCCAGAATCCCTTTTGTCAAATTAATACCTCTCATAATGACTAATGAAAGATACAGAGACAATATTCAAAACACTGAAAAATATAGACTTGTCTTGTTATTCATTGTCTTGTGATAAGTATAACTGATTGAGGTACTGTTATGTTGAATAATATCCTGATGTCATTGGTTTGGTTTGGTTATACTGCTGCTTGCTTGTATTCTCATCCATAAAATTATACCTCAAAACTATGACAGTAATATTCACTACAGTGTCTATATTCCTCTTGATTTTCAGGCATGGAGACCCCATGTGATGCTACACTGGATGGAGCTCATTGTTATGGAGCTCTGGGAGGAACTGTCTCTCTCCAGCTGATGACCATTGTCAGTGGAGTCCCTGACATATAATAAAAAAACGACTCCACTGATGCTGCAAAAATTATACTCCAAATTTGAAACAAAATGAAAAAAAAGAAACATTTAATTCAGATGGGGAAACATTAGGGACCAGAGGACTACAACTGTTTATTGAAGGTACAGTAATTAGCTAACCCTTTAAAATTATCATCTTGACAAATCCTTATTACTAACTATAACTTGACTACAGAAGCTTCTGTGGCCTTCTACTTCTAGAATAAGTGTTGTTTTCTAATGTGTTTATGCGAATGTCTGCAAATGTCTGCAGATGTCTATTCTTCTTCCTCCACAGCCCCAGTGTCCTCTCTTCAGCTGTCCACTCAGTGTCTGACCCATGGAGAGATGAGGGTGTCCTGCTCTTCTGAGGGGGACGGTCCTCAGTACAGATGGACTCTGGACGAACACCCACTGAGAGACACTGAGGCCTCTTCTGGTGACGAGACAAACACCATCACACTGAAGAAAGGCCTGTCTGGAGATCTCACAGTACCGTCAAAAACAAAATCAACAGTGTCACTGTGAGCAAAATAATCTCCCCCTGTGAGGGTAAGCTACTGTTTAATTAATTTTGTTAAACATAATGATGATGATTATAATGATGGTCAATCTTTATCAATGGACATTGATTAGAAAGCACTACCCATTTGCCAGTATTAAATTCAGATACATGATTCCTGTTTATTTTGGAGGGCTTATCCATGTAACTACACTTCCAACAGGACAAAGATATCAGAGTGGGTGATTGCCGTTGGTAACACCTTGTGAATTGAGCCTACAGCAGTGGCACACACAACTGTGATAAAGGCCTCCACCAGTCAAACAGAGGCAACCACATGTAAAGGGTTTGAAACCCTAGTGACCTCCACTCTAAATCGTCCCACTCTAAATCTTGGAATACTATTTTTCGTACACTGTTCAAGCTAGAAATGACATTTAAACTTTAAAACGTACAGATCAGTCTGGAATAGTGTGCTTGAATACAACCTTTATGTATATACTGTATGTTATACTTTTGAAACTTTTTGTCCTTCTTTTTGTCCTCCAGCCACTTTAATGGGATGTCCTCAACATTCTAAAGGGCCCATTGTGACATCATGACTTCCAAAATTATATTCTATTCACTCTAAACAATGTAACTTTTGACCTAAATCAGCTACTTTGACCACTTTCCCAACAACTTAGATAACTTAGACAGCATACGAAATCTAAGTTTGCTTCTCTGCTACTCAAATCTGAAATCAGAACAGAATTACCTTCAACCGATGAATCAATACAGCTGTTTTAGTAACTGCATCAACTACATTTTATCTCAGCTGTTACAAACAACTTACATTTTGACCACTTCTCAAGTTAGACAAAAACGTATGTCATGTCTCCTCCCGTTGCTCCCCTCCGGCGCTCTGATTCACCGGTCTACTGAGCCACCGGTCTGATCGCACCACCTCGGCAACACCGGAATGGAAACCCTGCGCACCCTAATCACCTCCTGCGCACCTGCACCTCATCATCTCATCACCACCCCTATTTAGCCCTGGACTGTTCCTTATGATGTTGTGTGTGATTGTTTAGCTTCGTGTCATGTACTCTATCTTTGTTATTTCTCTTTGTCATTGTTTAAGTAAACCTTCCTGTGTCTGCGTCCTGTCTCTTCGTATACTCAGTACTCGTCGCAGAATCACACACCAAACGAAAATGGATGCAGCAGGAGTTTCCCAGTGCCTCGACCAGCACCAGCAGCAGCTTGCCCAGTTGAACGCCGCTATGCAGGAAGTGCTCCAAACTCTGCATAATCTGCCCAGCGCTCCAGTTCCTCCTCAGGGAGCAGCGAGTGCCCCCTATCCACCTGTTCCCGGGCTATCACCCACTTCTGCGGGAACACTCGCCCTACCGGAGTGCTATGACGGTAAAACTACTAAATGTAGCAGATTCCTGCTACATGTTTCACTTTATCTGGCGCGTCAGCCTGGAGTATATCCATCTGACCAAGCCAGGATAGCGCTGGTGATTTCACTACTTAAAGGGAAGGCCCTGGATTGGGCCATGGCAGTCTGGGCAGGAGAGGAGGCAGTGGCACTACCCTACCCCACCTTCCTCGCTCGGTTCAGGGCGGTGTTTGATCATCCCACGGAGGGAAAGGACGGGGGTGAGCGTCTCCTCCATCTACAACAGAGAGAGGGGCCCGCGTCTGAGTACGCTCTGAGCTTTCGCACGGTGGCGGCGTCTTCCGGCTGGAATGAGCATGCTCTGCGCACGGCCTTCAGGAGAGGCTTACAGGAGGACATCAAGATGGAACTCGCATATCGGGACGACAGGATGGACCTTGATACCATCATCACCACGTCCATCCGTCTTGACGACATGTTGAGAGAAAGACGGTGTTCCCAACACCTTCCGGAGCCTCGACGCACACCCCATCTGAGCTATGGAAGCCGCCCTGCTTCCGAGTCCTCATCCATGGAGGTGGGCAGCACCCCCTACACCACCACAGATCTCTTGGAGGCTACCTATCTGGACGGTATGACTCCCGTCACCACTCCGTGAGTGTTACGTCAGCTCCTATCACAAAACCATTGTTTGTAGTTCCCATAACGGTGTCTGGTTATTCCTACTCTTCCATTTCTACTGCTATGATAGATTCCTGATCAGCGGGGAACCTTATAGATAGGGTGCTGGTCTCTGAATGGGGGTTGCCCACTGTGCCACTGCCATCTCCGCTACATGTCACTCTCCCCATCACCATCACCTTTCCCACACTACCGGAGCACAACGAGGAGCTGTCATTCCACATCGTCACGTCACCCCTTCACCGGATCGTCTTGGGATTGCCCTGGCTCAAACTACACAACCCCAATCAATTGGAGGACCAAGAGGATCACAGCCTGGTCTACCTCATGCTGGAAGACCTGCCTGCCTGTGGTTTGTTGTTCCACGTCAGTGGAAAGTCCGGAGTCCGCCCTCCAGCCCAACATTCCACGTGAGTACGCAGATCTCTCCGATGTCTTCTCTTCAGTAAAGGCTACGTGTTTCCCTCCTCACAGGCTGGGACAGCACCATTGACCTGCTGGAGGGACAAGACCCCCTGAAGAGTCGCATTTACGCCCTTTCCATGGCAGAGACTGATGCCATGGAGAAGTATGTGGCGGAGACCCTGAAACAGGGGTTTATCAGACGCTCTACCTCTACCTCTACTGCCTCCGCCAGCTTCTTCTTCGTGGCCAAAAAGGACAGAGGACTGAGACCATGCATTGACTACAGGGGGCTGAACGCAGTCACCACCAAGTACCGGTACCCACTCCCTCTGGTTCCGTCGGCCATCGAGCAGCTATGAGGGGCCCGGTACTTTACCAAGTTGGACCTGAGAAGTGCCTACAACCTCAGAAGCTGGCCTGGAACCCTGAGGCTGACGCTGCTTTCAAGAGGCTGAAGGAGAGGTTCACCACAGCACTCATCCTAAAACACCCAGATCCATCTCGCCCTTTCATCCTGGAGGTGGACGCATCGGAGGAGGGCGTGGGTGCGGTCCTCTCCCAGCGGCACGGTAAGCCAGAGAAAATGTATCCCTGGAACTATGGAGTTGGAGACAGGGAGCTGTTAGCGGTGGTCCTCGCTCTGGAGGAATGGAGACACTGGCTGGAGGGCACAGTCCATCCATTCCGGATTCTTCCTGACCACCGGAATTTGGAGCACATATGCGCTGCGAAACGGATGAACTCTCGTCAAGCCAGGTGGGCCCAATTTCTCACTTGCTTCCAATTAATTCTGTCCTACCGACCAGGTTCCAGAATGCGAAGGCCGGCGCACTCTCCAGGATGCACCATACCGGAGAAAGGAAGGATCTGGGGGGTCCTATCCTGCCCTCGTCTCTCATCGTTGCACCTGTTGTTTGGGATGTGGACAAAGACATCCGCCTGGCGGCTCAGGAGGACCCAGCACCTGCCAACGCCCCTCCGGGGCGCATGTATGTACCCACCAGTGTCCTTGACTGCCTGCTGATCTGGGCGCACACCACCCTTACAGCAGGCCACTCTGATATTACGCGCACCCTGCATTCTCTAGCCCAAAAATACTGGTGGCCCACCTTGGCTTGTTCCGTATGTGCCCAAACGAAGACACCTCGGAACGCTCCGGCAGGCAAACTAGTTCCTCTCCCAGTGCCTCAGCGACCTTGGTCACACCTGTCCATAGATTTTGTCACCGACCTTCCACGTTCTGACGGCTTCACATCAGTCATGGTGGTCGTAGATCGGTTCTCCAAATCATACCGTTTTTTGCTATTAACTGGTCTTCCTTCTGCTCTCCAGGTCGCTGAGGTCCTGTTCCAAATGGTCTTCCGGCATTATGGATTTCCGGAGGACATCGTCTCGGAACGTGGCCCCCAATTCACCTCCCGAGTGTGAAAGGCTGGAGAAGATCGGGGCCACGGCTAGCCTCACTTCCTGGTATAGGCCTCAGTCAAATGGGCAGGTGGAGCGCATGAACCAGGAGCTGGGTAGGTTTCTTCATTGCCACTGTCAGGACCGGCAGGGTGAGTGGGCGAGGTTTCTTCCCTGGGCAGAATATGCCCAGAACTCCCTCGTTCACTCCTCCACGGGGCTCACTCCCTTCCATTGTGTCCTGGGGTACCAGCCAGCCCTGGCCCCTTGGACGCCCAGCCAGACCGATGCGCCCGCTGTCAACGAGTGGTTCCACAGAGCCGGACAGGTCTGGGATGCCGCCCATGTCCATCTCCAGAGGGCCATTTGTCGGCAGAAGGACCAAGCAACCGAGGACAGACGATTTTTACGCACTACGCGCTTCAGCACTGGGCGGTTCCGTTCTGTGTGCTTGTGTGGCCTACCACTTTGCGTCTAAGCAGTTGGTATTCCTAGACGTTTCCACTTCACAATAACAGCACTTACAGTTTACCAGGGCAGCTCTAGCAGGGCAGAAATGTGATGAACTGAGTTGTTGGAAAGGTGGCCTCCTAAGTCACTGAGCTCTACAATAAGGCCATTCTACTGCCAATGTTTGTCTACGGAGAATGTTTAAAGTAGCCACCCTTTGCCTTGATGACAACTTTGCACACTCTTGGCATTCTCTCAACCAGCTTCATGAGGAATGCGTTTCCAACAGTCTTGAAGGAGTTCCCACATATGCTGAGCACTTGTTGGCTGCTTTTCCTTCACTCTGCGGTCCGACTCATCCCAATCGGGGGATTGTGGAGGCCAGTTCATCTGATGCAGCACTCCATCACTCTACTTGGTCAAATAGCCCTTACATAGCCTGGAGGAGTGTTTTGGGTCATTGTCCTGTTGAAAAACAAATGATAGTCCCACTAAGCGCAAACCAGATGGGATGGCGTATCGCTGCAGAATGCTGTGGTAGCCATGAGGGTTAACTGTGCCTTGAATTCTAAATAAATCACTGATAGCAACCCCATACCATCACACCTCCTCCTTCATGCTTGATGGTGGGAACCACACATGCGGAGATCATCCGTTCACCTACTCTACGTCTCACAAAGACACGGCATTTGGAACCAAAAATCTCAAATTTGGACTCATCAGACCAAAGGAAAGATTTCCACCAGTCTATTGTCCATTGCTCGTGTTTCTTGGCCCAAGAAAGTCTCTTCTTCTTATTGGTGTCCTTTAGTAGTGGTTCTTTGCAGCAATTCGACCACGAAGGCCTGATTCACGCAGTCTACTCTGAACAGTTGATGTTGAGATGTGTCTGTTACTTCAACTCTGTGAAGCATTTATTTGGGCTGCAATCTGAGGTGCGGT